AACTTTGTGCCAGTATCTGAATGTTTGATCTAAGCAGGAAAGCCAAAAACTGAAACATAAGTATTTTCTCAACTGAAAAGGAACTGTCAAATGTTTGTTTTCCTTAGGAAAACACTAGCCCAGGAAGGATTCAAGTCACCCAAAATGTTTCGTTGCTCTGAAAACAAGCATACATACCATTCTAGTCTGGGAGGCTTTCTTTTGATTTACATGTACTTAAACCAGGCCTCAAAAATTTCACTAAAAATGTTAAAACAAATTTTTCAAGTACAAAAAAAAATATTAGAACAAAACTGTTCGGGTGGGGTTTTTGGTTTGTTTTTTTTTGGGGGGAGGGGGGAGAGGCAATACATAGTCATCCTGGTCTTTAAAAATGTTCTTCATTCAAGAGGAAAATTCTAAAAAACAGGCAATATCAGTATTTCTGTGCTGAAAGCCCAGGGCAAAACGCTCCCATTGGTCGCTGCTGGCATGAAAACAGAAAAAACAATAATTGCCAACAGTTCTGATTGTGTACAGGCTGCTTTCACCAAGATGGATTGCAGAGCTATCATCATGAAAAGGACTAAATGAACTGATTTGTTTGAAGTGCATAAGCTAAATTTAGTTCAAAGAAAAATACATTTAGGGTAGATAACTCCTTCTTGTCCTCTCCTCCCAGCTTCATGCATAATAACTATTGAAATAACCTGCTGCTGGTGTGACTCCAGCAATGATTTTTTAAAATCAGTTTTCCAAGAAAAATATAGTGAACTAGAAGAGCTCTCCAGCAGAAACAGGGTGTAGCCTTAGGGTCTAATTGGGAAAAACACTATGTACATACTTTACTTAGCATTTGTGAGTCACCTAATTGAAGCTAGACCTGTAGATATGAGCACTTCCAGGATTTGCCCGTTGGCAATGGTGAAGTAGCTCAAAATTTTGTAGGTGTTTTACAGCAGTTTTCTGCTGGCAGCTGATTTTGGTTAGGATGGGTGAATTCTGAATGTGTGCGTCTCCTGTGTGTTCTGGTCTTCAGTTGCTGCTTGTTCTGATGATTTCTTTCTCCAGTTCTTCGCTTTGCTGGCACCTTGTGCTGATGCCTCAGCCTGTCTCCCTTTTCAGAGGAGCAGTTCTCCTTCCTGTCTCTAGTTATGTTTAAACCTGTTAAAAGGAAACCAAGCCCAATTCACTCATCTCAGGAGTTTCAGATTGTTTGGTATTGTCAAATAAACATCTCTTTACATTCTCACTCGAAAGCGGATTTTTGACAGTTCCATAGATCTGGTATCATGTGCAGTTCTAAATACCAGGTAATATTTTGGAAGCCATTAGTGGGCTTGTAGATCAAAAGTCTCTCAGAGACTCTTGCAAATCCACATGAAGTTTCGAGCGCTAGAATTTGCATTCAAGTTGAAGGAAGTGTGGAGACTCCAAATTCAACTCTGCTTTGTGAAGTAAACGCAATAAATCCTTGCATGTGCCTACATGTGGCAGTGTGAGGTGGAGGAGCCTCAGGTGTGTTAACAGTATTTTCTCAAGTCAAATGCAGTAAATCAAAAATCCCTTTCAAAATGTAAGCAAGTTCCTTCATAAAACTGTGCCAGCTTTATGGGTTTTAGCCTACGCTGCTCCTCATGAGAGGCTATTCCAGAGCTGCATCCTCTGAAGGGTGGGAATATTTTTCTGATCCTTACCCTTTTGTGGCCAACTATATCCATTTTTTCTCAAGCCAAGCTTGTACATTAGCTTAAGTAGCGCTTTTACTTCACTGATGTCCCCCTTCAGTTCTCCCTTCTTCTGGCTTCTGTTCACTTTTGGACAGCACTTGATAAAATGGAGCTTTGCCAGGCAGGTCAACATTTTACTTCAAATACGACCCTTTTTATGACCTCATTTTGGTTTTTTTTCCCCCCAAATGGATATTATTACTGTGAGAGTCTTGAAGTATTGCAGAAATAATTGAGCCCATTGACACATTTTAATAGGAGAGATTTTAGTGTCATAGTGCAGATCTGACAGCTTTATCTGGCCTTACATCTTGTTCTTTGCCAGCAAGATAGTTCCTGCCCTACTGTCACACTAATTAATCAGCTCAGTGCTTTGTTGGGTTCATTCTGTGGGTATCAGTTTCACAAAAGGATTTGCTGATTTGGCTTTTTAGCTGTAAAATAACTTGAGTGCACATTTCCAAAACAAAAGACTGAAACCTGGAGTCTAAACAAAGGCAGATTTAGAAATAGGTGTGCACTACTTCAGGAGAAAAATATGTGCTGTGACTGAAATCCATATAGCCATTGAAATAACTTAATCTTTGCATTTGACTTCCACTTCAGAACTAGCTAATGAAATTCCTCCAGCTTTTAAGGTTAGACTGTAGAATTGTGATGGGTTCATTTTTTATTTAATACTGCTCTTGCCTGTCCTGGCCTCCTCTAATTACTGAATTACTTGGGTTTGACTCTTTGTTCATATGTCACAAGGCATAAAGATTGCAGGAAGCCATCAGCCTGTGAAAGCAGCCTCACACCATTTTTGTCTGCTCAAACTTTCAGTCACATAAGGTGGCACACCAAAAAGTGCTGTCTGAATTCAAGTGCATTGTACTGCACCTCGTGAAAGTCATAGGGTGGAGAGGACAACAAATACTTTAGTGTGTGTGCTCCCTCACCTGCATTGTTGCTCAGATCTGTGACTTATTTCTTGCACTATCCGAGCTTCATGGATGCCAAAAGTAACCCAACAGACTGCAATTTGAGGATACTGGCTCCACTGAATGGACTCATATGTTGCAGTGTATTCTTCATCACTCAGTTACAGTGGGACAGTCACCAATGGCACCGAGATAAGGAGAGAGTGGCATTTCAATATGCCCTGGGAAAGTGGTGAACACCTGCAGTTCCTACTGAGATGGAGGAGAAATGTGAGTGCTCAGGATTTCTATTCCTGGTCACCTTTTAAACAAGTACTTTTCACAACACCTTTTTGCAGTCACCTTTAAATTTAAGCAGAATCTTAACTTTCAGGTGCTTTCAGTCCCTCTTATTTCCTTGGTGGTTTCACATTACAGGTACTCATGGAAATTGAACAAGGGGGAGGTTGCAATCAGTTCTGTTTAGAACCAACCAAATATAACCTAGATATGTTATCCATGCACCCTTGGGGATGCTTTTAAGTAAATGGATGGAAAGTTCCAAAAAAGTGGTGCGAGCCTTTTACACATGACTTCATAGCATTCTCTAGAAACTGCAGTAAAATAAAAAGCTGTTCAAATGTAAAGGTATGTCTCCTTATTTTGTACAAGTTCTGCTTGCTGCCTCTTGCTGTTCTCCCCCTCGTACTGGTGGGATGGAGGAATGAGCAAGTGGCTGTGTGGGTGCTTGGTTGCACACTGAGGTGAACTTACCACTTCTGGTTAAGGAAAGGAAAAAAACAGTATTGAGCCTCTCTCTAGAATTAGCATCTTTCATTACAACTTCTTGCTTATAGTAGTACAGAACAGTTATGAAGCACTTCCCAATTCCTTAGGATTTTAAAAGTATTCAAGCAAATTAAAAGCCTGCATCCTGCAAAAAGATGTTTCTGATCCATATTTTTGTGTTCTTCTGAATTGCTGAATTGCACATGAGAGTGGATCTTTGGCTGCTGAGTTAGCCTGTTGCAGTTAAACCCTCCAAAAATCCTATGAAGTAGATTATTTATTATTTCGTCCTAAGAGATGGTGATGCTGAAACAAACTTGTCTGCTGATTTGTGTCTTTTTGCTGGTGCCAGGTTAGCTCCTGGTCAATTTCCTGACTCTTATTTACCCCATATGAAGATGGAGAGATAAATGCAGTATTTATTTTCATGCTGTGGGGAAACTGGGCAAAGATGAAGCGCAGGCTGAAAACAGTAGAGAAGTGGGATATCTGGATGAGAAATATTCATTAGCTTGCACATTGCTCTTAGCCTTGTCAAAACTCTCAAGTCCTACTGCTCCTCCAAGTCACTGCTGTAGCATTGTAATAGGAAAGAATAAAAAAAAAACCCTAAGGTGGCTGGAAATTAAGGGCATTAACTGGTGAAAGGATGAAGTTGCTTCCCCAGTCTTAGTTGCTGGAGCTAAAGAGATAGGACTTCTACTGCCATGTGTAACACACTGGGAGGAATGATATTACCAAAGAGTTTAAGGATACATGAGCCTTATCTGGTTCTGTTAGCACAAAGAAAACCCATAAAAGGATGCTGCAGAGCAGGTTTGACCAAATTCTACAGCTTATTACATTGGCAAAAATTGCAGAGCTGGGTAGTCTTCCTGTTTAAATATTGACTTGTGTGATGAGGGTTTTTTTATCTAAAGGCCTCAATTGTACTATTATAGGTTTAAGTTCTTTCACCTTTGCTATCTAAATCCTGTTTTATAGAAATATGGGCGTGTGGGCTTGATAGCTGTTCAGTCTTAACCTTTGCTTCAGCAGTTGGCTTTCAGACACTCTGTTCTTGCAAGATTAATATTCTCATAGTAAAAATAACTTTGTGTGCATTCAACTCTGCTTGCATGTGGATACCTGAAAGCAAGTTGAAAATAGCTTTGTGAATATTACAAAAAAAATCTAACCCCCCAAAAAACCCCAAAACCAAACCAAACCCTAAAATAGCATACAACATATGAAACATTTTCTGCTCACTCAAGTTGTAAGGAAATCATATGAATCATCACTCATTAAGAAGGGGGTTTCTCAAGCAGCTCAGGAGCCAAATGCCAGGGGCTGCGCTGTGCAAAACACTTCCTTTTCTCAAGGCAGGGAATCTGAATAAATGATGCAGTAGGTACACATGGATAGAGGTGGACACCAGCAGGAAGAGAGGGGGAGAAGCCCAGGCAGGAGCTCTCTATGGACAGCCAAAGCCATGTCCCACGCATGATCCACATTCCCTCCTCGAAGGGGCAGGTCTGTGTCCTCCAAGTAAGCAGCTCACCTTGGGTAAAACGTCCTACCTCCTGCGCTAATACTTGCTTTGTCTGCATTTTGCCTGCAGTGGCTGAGGAACCCAGGCCCCCAGCACGAGAGGAGGACTCTCTTTGGAGACATAGTGTGCTTCTTGTTTATCACCCCACTGGCGACCATCTCTGGCTGGTTATGTCTGCGAGGAGCAGTGGACCATCTGCACTTTAGTAGTAGGCTAGAAGCTGTTGGCCTCATTGCACTCACTGTGGCACTCTTCACTATTTACCTCTTTTGGACCCTAGTAAGTATTGGGGTGTAGCGGCGACCCTTGTATAACAAGGAATGATTGATGCTCCTCGTGCGGTGTTGTGGACAAAGAGATTTAATTCAAACTCGCGCGCCCTTTTATCCTTACAGATCATGTGACTTTCTTAACCAACCAGTTTACTAACTCTGGGGCATGCTCCTTGGGCTCTGTACCTGGGCACATCCTCTGTGCCCCTCAGACACGCCCCTACACATCCCCTCTTTTAATTATATTAAGAAGTCACAAAAACAGCATGAACAAAAATGCAAACAACAATGCAAACAACAATTTTAACAATCTGAACATTATATTATAAAACTACTAAGCTCCGCAGTGACCCAGCACATTGCTTTGCTCAGTTTCTTAACTCTAATGTAAACTTTTTAAAACTTTCTTATATTCCTATAGGGTAGTGCAACTTGGATAATTACTTTATTAACTTGGGGCTTATCTTAACTGTGTATAAACTTATAACTTTTTAATCTGAGGGTTTTTTAATAACTGGGGATTTCAAACTTTATTTAAGAACAGGGTAATCTTAGCAAACTACAATTTCTTAAAAGTGACCTGTGGCTGAGGTAATGTTATTTGTAAGGTGTTTGTTTTTATTATTTGACCAATCACACAACTATTTCCATTCATACACTCATATCATACGTCGGTGGCCACCGCACTCTGAACACACACACGAACACACACACACACATTCCAGAGACTGCTTTTCACCACGTTGGTCATTTCCTAATGTAAACTTGAAAACATAACATAACTCTTTTCCAAACTTCTGCGTTGCTCTGGTTCCTGTTGCTGTGGTTACATATTTGAATAGGTTTTACACACCTGGAAGAAACCTGCTTGAGTTCTTTCTTATAACTTTTAGGCATAGCTTTCTCTCCATGTCACAAACCTAGGAATCTCATCCATCGTCCTGAAATCAAATCTTACTGTGATTAGCAACTTGGGAGAAACAAACGCCTGAGGTGTGTGCTGCTTTTCAGACCTGCTTCTTTCAGCACTGTCACAACTCAAAAATTGATAACATACATAGCTTTATACAGATGTTTTTGCAGGTTACACCAGTTCTCCCCCTTTTTGTTTAAACTTAGCACGTGTTTCAATATGTGCTTTTACTGTTTTATGGATTAGTGTGAAATGTTTGACGTGAGAATTTTCCTATTTCATAGGAAGTAACTGCTTAATATTAATGTTAATCTATTTTAGTGTACCAAAGGTTTTGCTAAGCAAGTAACTCATGTGTTTTACACTTTTGTGTTTTTTCTAGTGGATGTAGTAGCAGTTATGTGTTGTGAATGTATGTCTATTTGCATGTACAATTTCAACATGTTCAATCCAAGATGTATATCTCTGATCGCCAAGCCTCATTTGCTATTAACTCTCTAGGGTGGTTTCCTGACAGTGTGGCATACCTTGATGATGTAGCTTTATTGATTGTTATTTTGAATGGTCTCTTAGAGAACCTGTATTCTGATGGAGAATGAATGAGGCAATTGCTTGCCTTAAAACTCTGGGTATAGTGTTAAACGTTGCTGCTTTAGCAGCTTTTCAGTTTCTGTCAGTCATTGGCTGTGGCAGGTCAGGATGTGATTTTGTGTGCATTTGTATACAAATCATACCTTTTGTAACTCACAGGAACCAACCAGAACGCATTTCAAAAAAAAAACAGGTAAGGGTTAACAATATCTCAAGGAAATTCACTTTCAAAACAGGTTATCAACTTCATAGCATAATAAGCACAATCATAACATCAAAGGATTGTTTTTAAATTTTTCCAAGGTAATGACAATCAGTCTAGAACTATACAGAAGCTTAGTTCATGGCTTGTAGTTTTCTTACTGTTCCGTGGCAGGATTTATTTAAGTCTATTGCAGCATATGTGTTTTCCTAGATGCATGTGTGAAGGTCCTGAGGCCTTTCATTGGTTCAGTTTTGCATCTGGTGTGGTTTCTAAAGGTAAACTGTTGATTTCTGCCACAATCTGTGCTTAAGGAGATGGATTAAAATATTACCACTAAAACTTGCCAGGGCATCTTGAAATCCAGCGTCCTCAGCTGTCATCCTATCCAAATTGTCCTTTCAAAGCTGGAATGTTGGTAAAGGCAGGATTTCTTCCGTCCAGTTCTTCAGTCGTGCTCTGCCCTAAATGACAAGCTTACAAACTCAATAGCAACTTACACAGATTTAGGTGGTGAGGTATGACAGAAAAAGCTGTTTTAGAACCAACAGCGGGCTTCTCTCAATTTGATCCCACTGAAACAAAGCTGCAATGCTTCATACCTGCTGGAAACAAAGACTAGGTAGATTTGCCTGTCAGCATCTCTTCTGTTTTGTTTGTTTTTCATTACCTTGGTATAATTTTCTAACATCTGGTTTGCCTCTGCAGTTAGCAATTCGTCAGACTTTAAGTTGGAGTTTTCCCCTAGCAACACAAAGAGAGGGCAACTGGTAGCCCTCTGAGGTTCCTGCAACTCATGTAAATACAAATGTTTTTTACCTCGAGCTGTGTCACCTGTGTAGAGCCTTTTTGCTGTGTTGTCTTGTCCATGGCAAGTCCAGAGTTGTGGTTGTTGGATTCTTCCTGAAACAACTTGAAGATCTGCACCTTGGGCAGTTTTGGTTAAAACAGCAGAAACAATTAGCAGTTCATTTCCTGTGGTCTTGGTTATTAATGTGTCCTCTGCATAATGGTGTATTATGGCTGTCTGATACTTTATCGAGGTATTTTGCATCCCCTGAGGAAATGCAGCCCAGCAGTGAGTTTGAATAGCCTGTGCACTGCTTAAAACCATGATGGAAAAGAGGGGTTTTTGGGCATCCTCAGGGTGACAGAGAATGGTGAAGGAATAGTTTTTTGAATCAGTTACCACTCGTGACCAAATCTGCTAGAAACCTTAGAGGCAGTCCGATCTGCAAGGCTTCTGCATGGTTTTTGACTGCGTGTTCTGCTGTCAACATCTGTAATGTTTTCCACCTGTCACCTTTCTTTGGGGTACAGGGTACATGGTTATTTTGGGGGCTGGTTATTGGTATATTGTGGCTTGCCTTAAGTAGTTTTCTCTTTTGCACATGAAAAGTGGTGCTAAAAAAGAGTACAGCTAGCAATGCTATTACAAGCAATACAATGCTTACAGCATATCTTTTGTTTTGTGTATGGCACCCTTGGTACAACTGAGTCATTTCTCTGCTGCTAGGGTGTTTGTGGAATGTTGCAATTAGGGGCTTCCAGGGGCAATCCTCCTGGGAGTGATCCATTTCTCCACAACTAAAACAACTAGCTGTGTGTCTGACTTCCTTCTGTATTTTTATTTGGGCATCTAAAGCTGCAGCTAGAGAGGCAGGTAGCTGTTTCTCAGAGCTAGCCTTTTGGTAGGGTTGCACCAGCTCAGTAAAGTCACAGTTCTCCTTTGCAGGAGGGCTCTGCAAAGCTTTTGCATTTTCTCTTTCAAAAGCCAAATGCTTGTACAGCATCTCTCTGGCTTCATTGTATTCAATTTGCTTGTTTAAAGTCGACTGCAGTTGGTCCAAACATCTCAAATTTAACTCAGTATAACCTTGTAACTCTTTACTGTTGGACAGATAGTCAATTGGATCAGCAGTGAGAATGTTTTCCATAGCTTTTAGGGCTTGCCTGGCTATCTCTTTATGGCATTTTGATTGTGAATCTAAATTATAATTTGCTTTCCCGCTTGACTGATGTGCCGTGGCGTCTGCCTGTAGGTATTTAATATGAACAGAGCAATTTTTCTGGAAATCAGCTAACCAGACTGTATATTGGGTGTCACTGAGAACTAGTTTTATCAGTTCTTTCCAGTCATATGTGGTGAGTGGGTAGATGTAACTCAATGCCTCCAAATATTTAAAAATATTGGTTAAAGACAGACCAGAACCTCTTATCAAATGCCTCAGGTCCTCTGTGGCCTCATACAAGGCTTGACTCTGAGGGGGCTGGTTTTGGCTCATATCGTCTGGGCATGCCTGATTAACATTCAGGTTTCCCATTCGAATTACCTTGTCCAGACATTGTTCCCACCTGTTAGCTGACTTCTCCCCCTGTGCCTTATTGATCCCTCCCGTTGGAACCATGTTTGGCTCTTTCTCCCCCTCCTTCTCCCCTTCCTTCTCCCCCTCCCCCCATTCCTCCCATCCCTCCCCCCTTGTGGTCTCGGCAAAACCGGTTCCCTGTGGGGGGATGGTGGGCGGTGCAGGCGGCGAGTGGGGGGCGGGGCTGGCTCCTCGGCCGGAAAAGAAAGGTTGGAGTTCAGTCTGTGTGGGGGGGGAAATGGCTGCGGCCATGGCTGTCCACGTGTTCGCTGTTCATTTGCAGCGAAAGGGGATGAATACACTAAATTATTCTCCCCATCACTGTAACAGGACTGCCTTGTGCGGACCCGGGGGTCAGAAGTTTGCATGGCAATGTCTGTCCCTTCCCAGCGACTCGTTTTACGTGGCTCTCGTGTCTCCCGGTATGATCCCTGAGTTTGTATTACCATGTTGTGCTGTGTTTGCTAACAGCAGTGCGTGCGGGGGGTGGTGTGGTGTGGGTTGTTTTGTTCTTCCCTGTGTGGTAGGGAAGGCTTGTGTGCCTCGTGCAGGCAGAGTTTATCAGAGTAAACTGCTTTATGTTGCAAAGTTTAGCAAAACGCTACAGTCTGAGTTTTGCTTCAATGTATCATGAGGTTTCTATGGGAACAGGTTGTCTTATGTTACCTTATCTCGAGCGGCTGGGAGCACACTTTTTGAGTCCTTTTGTAGCAGTTTTGGGCTAACTTGCAGTCTTTTTTCTGCGGCTTTGGGAGGTCCGGGCTGTGTCGGCTGCGGCGCGGGGGGTGCGCTGTGCTGCTCCGGCTGCGGCGCGGCGCGTGGCTGGGGCAGCTGCGGCGTGGGGCAGTTCCCGGCGCGGGGGCAGGCTCGGCAGATGCTGGCTCGGCGATGGCAGGCCGTGGGGTTCCGGCGCTGGTGGCTGGTGTCCCGGTGCA